ACAGTGATTCAACAGTTAGTGAAGAGACAGGACTGGGCTCAACTCTTATCCCTGATGTGCACAAATCTTCCGATCTTAAGTGGGTAATGTAACCTCTCTAAGCCTCAGTGCCTCATTTGCAGGATGGAGCACTAAAAGTTCCACAGAGTTGTAAGAATTCAAAGAAGTTGTGTGAAGCACTTAGAGCGCCTCGCTCATCACACTGATTCACAAATATTAACAAGTATCAACAAGTTTTGTGAAGAAAATTAGCATACGTTTAAGTAAAAAAAAAGTGGACATCATTTGTATATATTATCTTTACTTCCTACAGTCAACTCAGCTATGGAGATTTTTTTATTTCCTTTTAGAGCAATTCATATTATTTACCCTAATACTTCTACTTACTAAAAGATTTTTTAAACATAAAGAAATTTTGAGTTTTTCATCGAAATTGTTCTCTTCTTTTATTGAGATAATTTAATTGGTTCCATTGTCTTATTAATTATCTAAAATTAAAATATCATGGTACACTTAAACTCAACATAGTCATAACATATAATGTTTTTAGATTGCTAGACTAAGTATGACACATTGGCCCATAATTCTCAGAAAGGGCTATGTCATTATTACATAAATGGAACTTCTGAGCAAATAAAATTACTAGAGACAAAGATATCACAGGTCAATAAAAGAATTAGTCAAACAAGAAGACACAACAATCTGAAGTGTGAATACACCAAAAAATACAGCTTCAAAATATCTAAGTCAAAAACTGATAGAGAAAGCCAGGCATCGCGCTGTATGCCTCTAATCTCAGCACTTGGCAGGCTGAGGCAGGAAGACTGCCATGAGTTCAAGGCCATAGTGAGTTCAAGGGCAGTCTGCACTATATGGCAAGACCTTGTCTCAAAAGAAACAAAAAAAATGTTTAAAAACTGGTGGAACAAAAAGAGAATGAAACAAGTACACACTGTAGTTGGAGATTTTAGCAACCACATAAAACAGACAAGAAAAGATAATTATAGACTAACCTTTTTTGTTTGTTTTCTGGTGGATGTGTCACCACACCCAGCAAACTAGCACTCTTATGAACATAGATTCTCAAAATATTAGCAAATCAAGCCTAGGACTATATAAAAAGAATAACATATTACAATTAATGGGGTTTATCGAGAAATGTGAGATGGTTTCGATATTTGGAAATTAAATCAGTGCAATCCTCCACAGTAATAATCATGCACAGAAGAAAACCGAGATGATCATACCAATTGATGCTGTAAAGTAAAAACTCATGATAAAAATAAAATACTCAGCATCCCAGGAACAGAAGGGAACTTTTTTGACCCAATAAAAGCTAGAAGCCAGGCATGATGGTACAAACCTGTAATCCCAGCACTCATGAGGCTGAGGCAGGACCCTGAGTTCAAGGCCAGCCTGAACTGCATATTGAAACCCTGTCTCAAAACAAACACACAAACAGAACTAGAAGAACTCTATAACTAAATCATCTTACTAGTGAAGGACTGAATACTTTTACTTCCCAAATTGGGAAAAGGCAAGGCTGCCCACTCTTGTTCAATATAGTTCTAGACATCGTAGCCAGGGCAATGGGACAGGAAAAGGTAATAAAATTTTCAAAAGGAAAAAAAAATAAAATTATACATATTCACAGATAACATAATTGCTTCTTTGGAAAATCCAAAGAAATCTTAAAAAAAAAAAAAAAACTCATAGGACAAACCAGTGAGTTTAGTGAGGTTGCAGATATGAGGCCAACACACTAAAATATCATATTTCTTTATACTAGCAGTGAAAAAATTAGAAACAGGCACTATAATTTTACATGCACAGGCCAAAAGTTTTGTCTTTACCAGCTAGTTAGATTTCTGAAAATTCCTTCAGCACTTTGAATCTGAGATTCCTCCTCTGGAAAATGGAGCTAAACCTGGGATTCTCAGGGTTTCTGCAGACTCCTAGGACAAGCACATAGGAACCGTGCCCCACTGCTCAAACTGGTCAGGTCCAGTCAGAGTTCAGGAACCGTGCCCCACTGCAGTTCAGTCCTCGGCACCCGCTGCTCAGGACCTCTCCTCTCTGGACCTCCCAGACCTCGTGCTTTGCTGCCTCAGCATCATATGTGACCCTTCTCGTCCTTGCATTGTATTGCTTTCTTGCCCTTCACTCCTTTTTGACATAATTTCGTTTATGCATAACTTTCCTCCACTAACCTTTGATTCTTGGACTGTGTGTGTGTGTGTGTGTGTGTGCGCGTGTGCATGTGTGTGGTAGCAGTAGCAATAGTGGGGCTTGAACCCAAAGCCTTCACAGTGAACTATAACTATATCCCCAGCCTTTTTTTCATTTTGAGACAGGGTCTCACTTAGTAAGTTGTCCAGGCTGGGCTTAAGCTTACCATCTTCCTGCCTCAGCCTCCCACATCTGACTTAATCTTTGACTCTTACCAGTCAGGTTTTTCATCCGCCCTTCTCACCACATGGAAGATTTATTAGTTTTGTGTATCAGTCTGCATGGGCACTGCTTCTCAAACTGCTCCTTTGCCTGTGCCCTTACACCCACTGCTACCCTGTGAAAGGATCTTCTCCAGCTTCACCTCCTGTGAGAAATTTCCCGTGGGTTGGGTCTGTGTGTCAGCTTTCCACTGCTATAACAAATACCTGAGACCACCAACTTATGAAGAGAAAGGTTCATTTTGGCTCAGCGTTTTGGAGTTTGGTCCACAGTTGGTTGGCCCTGTTACTTTGGGCCTCTGGCAAGGCAGCACATCGTGGGAGAAGTGCAAGCAGAGCAAAGCCACTCACCTCACAGCTGGGGAGCAAAATGTGAGAAAGGGGCCAGAGCCCCATAATCTCCTCCAGGGGCTGAAGCCTCCAGGGACCTGAAGACCTGCCTCTCAAAATTCCATCACTTCTCAACAGCACTGTGCTGGAGACCACACCCTTAACACATAAGTCCCCTTAAGGGACTTATCAGATCCTAACAGCAGTTTAATTCTAAATTAATAGAAAAAGTAAGTTTAATCAATGAATTAAATTACTTGGCCAGCTTTCTATAGACAATAAATTTTATTGAGCACATATTACCTGCAGACAATGAGGATACACTGTTAACCCAAACAGGAACAAGTCCTGATCTCATAGAGCTCACAGTTGAGTAGAGACAGATTGATGTGAAATCAATAATTATAAGTAGGTAATTACATAACTGTACTTTGAAGGAGAGCGTTTACATTGAAGTGTCTGAAATAAGTCATACAAGTATCTACTACAAAAAGGTGGCACAGGTCTGGAAGTACACAAAATGTTCTTTTAGTCTTTGGTACCTGGCAATATGTTGATGCCGCAGGCGGTCACACCTTTGTAGAACATGCTTTCTGACGTGGCTTCCATCATACTCGGTGGGCTGCACCCCTGCACACAAGGTCTTGACCATGCTGCAGTGTGCATTAGCCTCCTCTTTCACTGAACTCAGGAACCACTGGATCGCAGGGGTACTTCTCCTTAATTCTTCCCAGCAAATGACAGTGCGAGCCCAAGGCTCCTTCTCAACGATCCTGGAGAACGGTGCATATTGGTCGCACAGAGTACGACAAGCAACATAAAGTCCCACGAATGAGAAGATGCAACAAACTGACTCTGAATCCCGTGAGTTCTGAACAGATGAGGCAGGGAAGCCTGAGCCTGGTGTGTGAAACAACCGAGCAGCAGAGACACCATAGTGCTGAGGGCAGTGGACGGCAGGGGCCTGGGGAAGGGAAGCAGGCGATCCAGGTGCCAGGTGCAGAGGCCCTCGGTTCACACGTGGACAACACAGTTCAGGAGGGCGCTGGCAGCGTGGACATGTTCCCTCTTCATTTCTCCTGATGACAGTGCTGGGCGTCACAGGAGGCAGATCCAAGCTAGAAACACTCTAGAAACTCCACGGGATGGAGCACTCCATTAGAGAGTGAACTTCCCAGCACTGAACATACTCAATGGCCGGAGCCCTGAGAGGTGGCACGGACAGGACCTGAGTTCCAGAGCTCCTCTCTGGACTGGGATGTAGAGGCACTTGGGTAGCTGGTCACCAACATTCAGGGGGCTTGTGGAGGGGAGGACAACTGCTTACATCAGCTGGTGCTGAGTGAGACTTCAGGCTTGTGAGCAGGCCTTGGTGTGCCAATTCAGAAAGGGTCAAAGAAAGGAAACAAGAGGAAGAGTTTGGTGGCTTGTACCTTTGCTCAGAATATAAATATCCAGGTGGAAATGCCCCTCAAGGAATATAATCCTAAGTCCAGGACCCTGAGCACAAACTCATCCCTACCAAGTACACAGGAAGAGAGCGACACCTACTCCTACCATCAAGATCAGTGGGCACACCACGTGCAGTGGCACACAACTGTAATCCCTTGGGAGGCTGAAGCAGGAGGATCACCATGAATTTGAGGCCAGCCTGTGCTACATAGGGACTTCAAGACCAGCCTGAACTATATAGCGAGACCCTGTCTTAAAAATAAAAATCACTGGGCACAGACCCCCTTCCTCAGCACAAAGGAGCTAGAAATATCCTAAAGATTCGAAGAAAATGGCCAAATAAAAATCTGTACTTGGTTAAACAGTCCCAGTGAGCTGCATTCAAACTGTCATCCGAAGCTGGTGTGTGCTTGAGGTCACAGCTACTAGAAATGCTGAGGCAAGAGGCTCACTTGAGCCCAGGCATTCAAGGCCAGACTCCAACATATCGAGATTCCACCTCACACACATACGAAATATCATCTGACCACAACTAATCATAATTCAAATTCGTAAGGGAGCCTCGCTGGGTGTGGACACAGCATTGAGTCCTGAGGCCTTGGAATTGCTCCTCTTGGAATTGCTCCATGGCCAGTGCAAACCTGAGTGAGAGGTCAGAAGAACCACATGAGCCAGGTATGGTGGCACATGCCTGTAATCCCACTCAGGAGGCTGAGGCAGGAGGACCGTTGTGAGTTTGAGACCAGCCTGGGCTACAAAGTGAGCTCAAGGCCAGCTTGAACTGCACAGTGAGACCCTGTCTCAAAAAGATTAAAAAAAAAAAACCACAAAAAAACATGAGAGCATGCTCTACTTCCAAAGGAAAAGAGCTGCCCTGGTTCAAAGGCCAAATTCTACTGAACATATTCAGATCTTTATAACAGCAGAAATCATCGGAAAAGAGAAATGTTAGTGAATTTTGGGAAAAAAAATCTTAGGAGACAAGATCCTGGTATTCTCAGGAGGAGGTCAATCATGGTGTCCTACATTCTCTTTCAACACAGGGACCACTTGAGATCCCACGGACAGGAAACATGGAGAAGATGAATCCAAAGAGGTATGCATCAGATACACGCCAAAGTTCACCTGTACATGAAACAACGGCAACAACCAGAAAGGCAAGATTATCTTAGTGGTTAAAAATAATTTTTCTAAATAATAATGATACCTAAAGTGAAGTCAGATCCTTAAAATCACGTATGGAACATGTAAGTTATGAGGATTTAAGTTACTCAGAAGGTCCCACCTGTTACACAGTAGAATGCAATGGACAGGCATTCAGAGAATCTAATTTCAGGACCTAAAGAGTCTCCCTCTAAGTTCTGCTTCCCCTACAATGACCCCACACCTTTTTGTTGCTGAGCTCATTCTTTTCACCTCTTTCTCATAAACCCTGAGCTTCATGCAGGAGCACTTCTTCCTGTCCTCCAGCCTCTGATCACCGCCAACCTAATTTTTTCTCTGATCTGTAATGTAAAAGCCACCGGAGGGGGCTAGGGATATAGCTTATTGGCACAGTGCCTGCCTGGCAAGCGCAAGGTCCTGAGTTCAATTCCCAGTACAAAAAAAAAAAAAAAAAAAAGTAAAAGCCACCTGAGGAAGATAATGGAAAAATCCTGCACTTTCCTTGAGAATGAATAAGTTAAGTTCTCCACATTCTCCAGAATAAAAATAGAAAGCCTAAAACAAAAAATTTCTGGCAAGTACGAGGTCCTGAGTTCAATTCCCAGTACCAAAAAAAGAAAAATTATATAAGTCTGCTCAAGGTCTACCATCAGTGCAAGAGGACCATCAAGAGCCCTTGGGAGGATGACATGGATCCACCTTGGTTAGTTCGTGTGATAACGTCTTCAGATGCCCTGTGTTGCAGGCCCCAGGTTGGGGCTAAGCTAATTTCTTAGGATCTGTGCGCATGTAGATGGAGAGCACATAGGGTTCAAAAATTTAAAAATAAAAGGTTGGTCCCTGTAAGAATTAAAATGATGCTGAGACATGGTCCTTCTGTGCCTCAGGGTAATTGTGTCCACCATCCCTTCTCCAGGCAACCTGCATGGGGCAGGCTCAAGGTCCCCTCGGGCCTGTTGATGTGGCCTGCAGCAACTGGGCAGACATGTGGATGTAGAACTGAAGTGCAACACCCTGCAGACCTAATGTATCCCATATCTATACGGAGACTTGTGTAAACCAAATACTGTGAGCAAAGCCCTTTCTGTTTCTTTCAGTGCTTGAATCCAGGGCCTTGAATTCAGGGCCTCGTGCATGCTAAGCAAGAACTCTACCGCTGAGCTGCATCCCCGGCCCCAAAACCTGCTTTTGATGAAGCAAACATCAGCTCCGAACATTTGACCATGAATTCACCTGCCAAATTATTACTGGACAAAGATTAAATATTTGCAGTATTTCTGTTAATTGTTGAGAAATTTTTAATGCATCCTGACTGCTTACTTGGTTTCCTGCAGTTCTTCACAAACAAAAAATCCCAACAGAAAATGTAAGACTGAAAATAAATGTTTCTAAATAATCAGTGTAAATGTTCAGTATTTATAATCTGGAATCCATAATAACATTTAGTTACTTTAACCTTTGGGTAGATGAACTGACAGACTTAGTATAATGAAACTAAGGCAATTTTTCTATACAGCTACTCTATCACTGGGAGCCATAGGCACAGCACATCCAACAAATGGTTTTCCTATAACCATTTTCTCCTCACTCATGTAATAAAACAAACTTTCCTCCCTTCTCCCATGAAAGGAGAAAATGAATGGAAAGGAAAGCAAGATGGAGCCACGGACAAGATCAGGCCTTCATTGGTGGCACAATGGCTTTGGAAAGTGCAGCAAATTCCCCACTGCTCAAGCAGGACTGTCATCAAAGAAGTTCTGCTGTCGATAACCCGGATCTTAAAAAAGGGCATCAGATTTTGCATCATACTTACCTTTCTCGCACGACTCTCAGAAAGTTTTTGGAAAACATCTTGGTTACGTTGCCCAGTCTGCTGGTTGATGCAAATCATCTGGCATCTGTGACAAGGCCCCAGTACCTGCCACGAAAATTACCAGACCTTGGCGTTTTGCAGGGAGAAAACTAGAGAAAGTGAAAAAGTGATCCCTGTGAGGGGATAATTAGCTGTGTGGTTTGTCAGCTGAGAAGTCACTGCTTAAGGGCTGCATAGAAAAAGAGAAGAGCATCTTAACTATTCTCAGGGAACGCTGGGCACTCTGAGGAAGGAAGTCACTCAGCGATGGAAAGGTCAAGTGGGGAGAAAAGAAACTGCCGCTGAGCCAGCACTTGGCCGTAACAAGAAAGCTTTCGAAAGAGCCTTCACAGGCCCAGGTCCTTTGACTGGCAACGTCACTTCTAGGAACTGAATCTAAGAAAGCAACCAGCAGTACCAACACAAAGTCATGGGTGAAGATTTGTCCTTACACAGGAAGGACAGTAAGGAAAGTTTCGGAAAGCTTGGCAACATCTTAGACATTACGCAGTAGAAAAGAATGGTTTAAAAAAAAAACCCATGCTACATATATAAATAACAAACCATGCTATCATATATTATCTACATGATATATATAATCCAGGCATTAAAAAAAATCTATAAAGACCTATAAATAAAATTAAGAAATATTTACTTTTATAATTGCAGTGAGCAGAAAGTACAATTTTTATTAGTGTGTATTTTTAAAGCATAGATGGATGGATAGATCGATAGATAGATAGATGGATACATAGACTGACTGTACACACACAACACAACATATAAAACAAAATATTCAACTATTTAACATTGGTCATACCTGATGAGTAGAACTTCTAAAACTTTGTAATTTATCATGAGCTTTTATTGCCTTTATAGAAAGAATATCCGGGGCTGGGGATTTAGCTCAGCGGCAAAGCGCCTGTCTGGCAAGTGCAAGGTCATGAGTTTGGTTCCCGGTACCGGAGAAAAACCAAAAAAAAAAAA